GGCCGCCTTTGTCTCTCCCCCAGTGGTGATGTTTACTCCACACTAACCGCAGCGTTTGTGTGTGTGTGTCTGTGTGTGTGTGTCTGTGTGTGTGTCTGTGTGTGTGTGTGTCTGTGTGTGTCTGTGTGTGTGGTGTCTGTGTGTGTGTCTGTGTGTGTGTCTGTGTGTGTCTGTGTGTGTCTGTGTGTGTGTCTGTGTGTGTGTCTGTGTGTTTCTGTGTCGCAGGACCGGAGTGGAGGGACACTTTTTTTCTTTTTGTACGGATGAAGACCATTGTAGAATCCTCTGCAACGGCTCCATATATACACACACACGTATATATATATATAAACCTTGTACACACACACACCGTGTACACACAGACACACACCGTATACACACACGTATATATATAAGCCTTGTACACACAGACACACACCGTGTACACACAGACACACACCGTGTACACACACACACACACCGTGTACACAACAGACACACACCGTGTACACACCCACACACACACCGTGTACACACACACACACACACCGTGTACACAGACACACACCGTGTACACACAGACACACCACCGTGTACACACAGACACACACCGTGTAACACAGACACATATTATATAAACCGTGTACACACACACAAAGACACACACACAGACACACACACAACTATATACACACACACACCTATACACACACTATATACACACACACACCTATACACACGTATATATAGACCGTCTAGGAGGGGGATGAGTAAGTGGTGAAGGTGGTGGTGAAGGTGGTGGTGAAGGTGTGGTGACGGTGGTGGTGGTTGAAGGTGGTGGTGAAGGTGGTGGTGAGGTGGTGGTGGTGGTGAAGATGGTGATTGTGGTCAGCAGTGCCACTGAGTAGCGTTTCAGAGTGAATTTAACAATCAATGTAAGTGGAGAAAAATCTCACCCTGCCACTGACCCCCTCACCCACCCACCCACTCACCCACCCACTCACCCACCCCCTCACCCACCCACCCACTCACCCACCCACTCACTCCACTCACATCATCCACCCACTCACTCACCCACCCACTCACCCACCCACTCACCCACCCACCCACTCACCCACCCACTCACCCACCCACTCACCCACCCACTCACCCACCCACCCACCCACTCACCCACCCACCCACTCACCCACCCACCCCACTCACCACCCACTCACCCACCCACTCACTCACCCACCCACTCACCCGCCTGTCGCCTCTCCCGGGGACCGATTAATGGGCAGCGCGCCCTTTGAGATGTTTTAGTTTTAGTTTAGTGGGGGGGGGGGATTAGTGGGGGTAGTAGTGGGGGGTAGTTAGTGGGGGGGGATTAGTGGGGGGTAGTTAGTGGGGGGGAGGAGTAGGTAAACTTTTTAAATTTCTCATTTAAATTAACGATTTACGTTTTCTCTCTAAAAAAAAAAACACTCCATGCTTTCTTGCCACGACTCCCCCCACCACCCACCCACCACCCCCACCCACCCACCACCCACCCACCACCACCACCGCCCACCCACCACTCAGCCCTACCACCCACCACCACACACCCACCCACCGCCCACACACCACCACCCACCGCCCACCCACCACTCAGCCCTACCACCCACCCCCCACCACCCACCCACCACCACACACCCACCCACCCCCCCACCACCCACCCACCCCCACCCACCACCCACCACCACCACACCCACCCACCGCCCACACACCCAACCCACCCACCACTCAGCCCTACCACCCCCACCACCACCCACCACCCACCACCACACACCCACCACCACCTACCGCCCATCCACCACTCACCCACCCACCACCCACCACCGCCACCCACCACCCACCCACGCCTACCACCCACCTCCCACCCACCACCACCACCGCCCACCCACCCACCACCCACCCACCACCCACCCACCCACCACCCACCCACGCCTACCACCCACCTCCCACCCACCACCACCCACCGCCCACCCACCCACCACCACACACCCACCCACCCACCACTCAGCCCTACCACCCACCCCGCACCCACCCACCACCCCCCACCCACCACCACCCACCCCCCACCCACCACCACCCATCACGCGGCGCGATATGGGGGGGCACGTGTCCACGTGGTGATGTGTCACGTGTCCACGTGGTGATGTGTCACGTGTCACGCGGTGAGGTGTCACGTGTCCCACGCGGTTGGGTGTCACGGGAAATAAATGACGAGTCGATGTCAATGGGGGCGCTGTGTGTGGTCCATGGCTGATTGAGTTGCGTGAGTTGACGACTACTTGGCCTGGTCTACAGGAGGTCGTGGTAGATGTTGACTACCTCGCCTGGTCTAAAAGAGGTCGTGGTAGATGTTGACTACCTCGCCTGGTACACAGGAGGTCGTGGTAGATGTGACTACCTCGCCTGGTCTACAGGAGGTCGTGGGAGATGTTGACTACCTCGCCTGGTCTACAGGAGGTCGTGGGAGATGTTGACTACCTCGCCTGGTCTACAGGAGCTCGTGGTAGATGTTGACTACCTCGCCTGGTACACAGGAGGTCGTGGTAGATGTTGACTACCCTCGCCTGGTCTACAGGAGGTCGTGGTAGATGTTGACTACCTCGCCTGGTCTACAAGAGGTCGTGGTAGATGTTGACTACCTCGCCTGGTCTACAGGAGGTCGTGGTAGATGTTGACCACCTCGCCTGGTCTACAAGAGGTCGTGGTAGATGTTGACTACCTCGCCTGGTCTACAGGAGGTCGTGGTAGATGTTGACTACCTCGCCTGTCTACAAGAGGTCGTGGTAGATGTTGACTACCTCGCCTGGTCTACAGGAGGTCGTGGTAGATGTTGACTACCTCGCCTGGTCTACAAGAGGTCGTGGTAGATGTTGACTAACCTCGTCTGGTCTACAAGAGGTCGTGGTAGATGTTGACTACCTCGCCTGGTCTACAAGAGGTCGTGGTAGATGTTGACCACCTCGCCTGGTCTACAAGAGGTCGTGGTAGATGTTGACTACCTCGCCTGGTCTACAAGAGGTCGTGGTAGATGTTGACTACCTCGCCTGGTCTACAAGAGGTCGTGGTAGATGTTGACTACCTCGCCTGGTCTACAGGAGGTCGTGGTAGATGTTGACCACCTCGCCTGGTCTACAAGAGGTCGTGGTAGATGTTGACCACCTCGCCTGGTCTACAAGAGGTCGTAGTAAATGTTGACTACCTCGCCTGGTCTACAAGAGGTCGTGGTAGATGTTGACTACCTCGCCTGGTCTACAAGAGGTCGTAGTAGATGTTGACTACCTCGCCTGGTCTACAAGAGGTCGTGGTAGATGTTGACTACCTCGCCTGGTCTACAAGAGGTCGTGGTAGATGTTGACTACCTCGCCTGGTCTACAAGAGGTCGTGGTAGATGTTGACTACCTCGCCTGGTCTACAAGAGGTCGTGGTAGATGTTGACTACCTCGCCTGGTCTACAAGAGGTCGTGGTAGATGTTGACTACCTCGCCTGGTCTACAGGAGGTCGTGGTAGATGTTGACTACCTCGCCTGGTCTACAAGAGGTCGTGGTAGATGTTGACTACCTCGCCTGGTCTACAGAGGTCGTGGTAGATGTTGACTACCCTTCGCCTTGTCTACAGGAGGTCGTGGTAGATGTTGACTACCTCGCCTGGTCTACAAGAGTCGTGGTAGATGTTGACTACCTCGCCTGGTCTACAAGAGGTCGTGGTAGATGTTGACTACCTCGCCTGGTCTACAAGAGGTCGTGGTAGATGTTGACCACCTCGCCTGGTCTACAAGAGGTCGTGGTAGATGTTGACCACCTCGGCCTGGTCTACAAGAGGTCGTGGTAGATGTTGACTACCTCGCCTGGTCTACAAGAGGTACGTGGTAGATGTTGACTACCTCGCCTGGTCTACAAGAGGTCGTGGTAGATGTTGACTACCTCGCCTGGTCTACAGGAGGTCGTGGTAGATGTTGACTACCTCGCCTGGTCTACAAGAGGTCGTGGTAGATGTTGACTACCTCGCCTGGTCTACAAGAGGTCGTGGTAGATGTTGACCACCTCGCCTGGTCTACAAGAGGTCGTGGTAGATGTTGACCACCTCGCTGGTCTACAAGAGGTCGTGTAGATGGTGGACCTACCTCGCCTGGTATAAGAGGTCGTGGTAGATGTTGACTACCTCGCCTGGTCTACAGGAGGTCGTGGTAGATGTTGACTACCTCGCCTGGTCTACAGGAGGTCGTGGTAGATGTTGACTACCTCGCCTGGTCTACAAGAGGTCGTGGTAGATGTTGACTACCTCGCCTGGTCTACAAGAGGTCGTGGTAGATGTTGACCACCTCGCCTGGTCTACAAGAGGTCGTGGTAGATGTTGACCACCTCGCCTGGTCTACAAGAGGTCCGTGGTAGATGTTGACTACCTCGCCTGGTCTACAAGAGGTCGTGGTAGATGTTGACTACCTCGCCTGGTCTACAAGAGGTCGTGGTAGATGTTGACCACCTCGCCTGGTCTACAAGAGGTCGTGGTAGATGTTGACTACCTCGCCTGGTCTACAAGAGGTCGTGGTAGATGTTGACTACCTCGCCTGGTCTACAGGAGGTCGTGGTAGATGTTGACTACCTCGCCTGGTCTACAGGAGGTCGTGGTAGATGTTGACTACCTCGCCTGGTCTACAGGAGGTCGTGGTAGATGTTGACCACCTCGCCTGGTCTACAAGAGGTCGTGGTAGATGTTGACCACCTCGCCTGGTCTACAGGAGGTCTGTGTAAATGTTGACCACCTCGCCTGGTCTACAGGAGGTCGTGGTAGATGTTGACCACCTCGCCTGGTCTACAAGAGGTCGTGGTAAATGTGACTACCTCGCCTGGTCTACAAGAGGTCGTGGTAGATGTTGACCACCTCGCCTGGTACGCAAGAGGTCGTGGTAGATGTTGACTACCTCGCCTGGTACGCAGGAGGTCGTGGTAGATGTTGACTGGATTGTGTGTGGAGCTCACAAATCCTTAAAAGATCTGGGCAAAGTCCCATCGGTGAGCTCCTCCGGCAGGCAAGGCTGCGTTGGCTGGGTCATGTAGCCCGCATGCCCAGCCACCGCATGCCCAAACAGCTTTTGTTCGGCCGGATCGAGGGGGCTAGACGGGCGCGGCACGGGCTGGAGAAGAGATGGAGTGATGTGGTACAGGAGGACGTGGAGCTGAGTGGACTTGCCGATGACTGGTACCAGCGGTGTCAAGATCGGCCTCTGTGGAGGAGGCTCGTGAAGGACGCTACTGGGCTGTGCCAAGCTAGGTGCACATTGAGGCTACTGGGCAGTTGGAGACAGTCGCCCTCCAACAACAACGGAGGGCGGAGGAGCGACGCTCACAACAACGAGCGGAGCGCCGGGTGGCTAAAGCACAGCAAGTTGGCACAGTAGGGGGCACAGGTGGTGCATCAGCCAGCGGGCGTTCGACACTTCACGTGGCCTCAAGGTGCACATAGCCTGGCACAAGCGTCGTGGTGACGTCACCGCCACTTAGTGGCGAATGGCGGTTGTTGTTGTCTGTGTGTCAGTGTCTTAAAATAAGCCATAATAAATTAATAAAATAAAACTTTATAAAATAATAAACTAAAAAACATAATAAAATAATTCAAATAAAACATAATAAGATAATAAAAATAAAACATAATAAATAATAACAATAAAACAATAAAATATTAAAATAAACCATAATGAAATAATAAAATAAAACTTTATAAAATAATAAAGAAAAAACATAATAAAATAATAACAATTTAACTAAATAAAATAACAAAATAAAACATAATAAAAAATTAATTCTCACGACGTTTCGGCCACAACGCAAGCAGCCGTCCTCAGGTGAAGAACAGCGTCTGTCGGGGAGACAGCGTCTCAATGAAACGCCACCAGGCTTGCGCGATGACGTCACCGCACGCGCTTGAAGTCGATTGCGTGATGACGTCACGACGCGCCTGCGTCGTTTGCGCGATGACGTCACCACGCGCAGATCCCAACGCCGTCCGTGGCCGGTGAGGGGGTGACGTCATCCCCTCGGCTTGTTCGACCCGCGTGACGTCACGAACACCCGTTCCTCTCCCCCCCCCCCCCCCGAGGCACGGGTGTGACGTCACGCCGTTCCGAGGCACGGGTTTGACGTCACGCCATGTCCGAGGCACGGTTGTGACGTCACGCCACTCCGAGGTAGGGGTGTTGTCATGCCAGTCCGAGGCTCGGGTGACGTCACGCCGGTTCCCGTGTGTGTGAGAGACGCGGAGGGAGACGAGGTGGTGACGTCCACGCCAGTCCGTGGCACGGGTGACGTCATTCCAGTCCGAGGCATGGGTGACGTCACGCCAGTCCGAGGCACGGGTGACGTCACGCCGGTTCCCGTGTGTGTGTGAGAGACTCGGAGGAGATGAAGGTGACGTCACGCCTGTCCTAGGCACATGTGACGTCACGCCTGTCCAAGGTACGGATGACGTCACGTCACTCCGAGGCCCGGGTGACGTCACCGCCTGTTTCCGTGTGTGAGTGAGAGACGCGGAGGGAGACGCGTAGGAGGTGGAGGAGGAGGTGGTGGCAGTAGGAGGTGGAGTAGGTGGTGGAGGGTGGCGATGGAGGCGATGTCCGAGTCGTGTGGAGGCGAGCAAAGCCGCACACTCACTGAGCAGCAGCAGCAGGTGAGTGCAGGGCTGCGGTGATGGTGGCCTTAGTCGCCATCACCATCATCACCATCATCATCATCACCATCACCACCACCATCATCATCATCACCATTATCATCACCATTATCATCATCACCATCATCATCATCACCATCATCATCACCACCACCATCATCATCACCCATCACCCACCACCATCATCATCATCACCATCATCATCATCACCATCATCATCATCACCATTATCATCACCATCATCATCACCATATATCATCATCACCATCCCACCACCATCATCATCATCACCATTATCATCATCATCATCACCATTATCATCACCACCATCATCACCATTATCACCATCATCATCACCATCATCATCACCACCATCATTACCATCATCATCATCATCACCATCATCATCATCACCACCATCATCATCATCACCATCATCATCATCACCATCATCATCATCACCATCATCATCATCACCATCATCTCATCACCATCATCACCACCATCATCACCATCATCACCATCATCATCATCACCACCATCACCACCATCATCATCACCCATCATCACCACCATCATCACCATCATCATCATCATCACCACCATCATCACCATCATCATCACCACCACATCATCACCATCACCATCATCACCACCATCATCACCATCATCATCACCATCATCATCATCACCATCATCACCATCATCACCATCATCATCATCACCACCATCACCATCATCACCACCATCATCATCATCACCATCATCATCACCATCATCACCATCATCACCATCATCATCACCACCATCATCACCACCATCACCATCATCACCATCATCACCATCATCATCACCATCATCACCACCACCATCATCACCACCATCACCATCATCACCATCATCATCACCATCATCACCATCATCATCACCATCATCACCATCACCATCATCACCACCATCACCATCACCATCATCACCATCATCACCATCATCACCATCATCATCATCACCATCATCACCATCATCACCATCACCACCATCATCACCATCACCACCATCATCACCACCATCACCATCATCACCATCACCACCATAATCCCACCATCACCATCATCATCACCATCACCATCATCACCATCATCACCATCATCATCACCACCATCATCATCACCATCATCATCACCACCATCACCACTACCATCATCACCACCATCATCACCACCATCACCACCACCACCATCATCATCACTACCATCATCACCACCATCATCACCATCATCATCACCACCATCATCATCATCATCACCACCATCATCATCATCACCACCATCACCACCACCATCATCACCACCATCACCATCACCACCATCATCATCACCATCATCACCATCATCATCATCACCATCATCATCACCATCATCATCACCACCACCATCATCACCACCATCACCACCATCACCACCATCACCATCATCACCACCATCACCACCATCATCACCATCACCACAGACACACAGACACACAGACACAACAACAACCGCCATTCGCCATTAAGTGGCGGTGACGTACCACGACGTTTGTGCCAGGCCATGCACCTTGAGGCCACGTGAAGTGTCGAACGCCCGCTGGCAGGAGGTCACGGGACAGACCCAGCAGGTGCCACGGGTCGACTGCTGTGCCAGGCTAGGTGCGGAGGAGGTCACGGGGCAGACCCAGCAGGTGCCATGGGTTGACTGCTGTGCCAGGCTAGGTGCAAGAAGAGTCACGGGGCAGACCCAGCAGGTGTCCATTGGGTTGACTGCCTGTCCGGCTAGGTGCAGGAGGAGGTCACGGGGAGACCCAGCAGGTGCCATGGGTTGACTGCTGTGCCAGGCGAGGTGCCGGAGGAGGTCACGGGACAGACCCAGCAGGTGCCATGGGTGACTGCTGTGCCAGGCTAGTCCTAGGAGGAGGTCACGGGACGAACCCAGCAGGTGCCATGGATTGACTGCTGTGGCCAGGCTAGGGCAGGAGGAGGTCACGGAGGCAGACCCAGCAGGTGCCCACGGGTCAACTTACTGAGATGACCGAGATGAACCGGGAGATGAACTGGGCTGATGCACCACCTGTGCCCCCTACTGTGGCCAACTTGCGGTGCTTTAGCCACTCCGGCGCTCCGCTCGTTGATTGTGAGCGTCCGCTCCTCCGCCCTCCGTTTGTTGTTGGAGGGGCGACTGCCTCCACCTGCCCAGTAGCCTCAATGTGCACCTAGCTTGGCACAGCCCAGTAGCGTCCTTCACGAGCCTCCTCCACAGAGGCCGATCTTGACACCGCTGGTACCAGTCATCGGCAAGTCCACTCAGCTCCACGTCCTCCTGTACCACAGCTCCTTACGATTTACAAGTATAACCCGTAAAAACAAAGTTTTTCACTATAAATCCTTTATATGCGTGGCGGCGAACTTAATATAAAGGATTTAAAAATATATTCGCCTGTGGAGGACGCGGGGATCGATCCCGCGACCTTTAGCATGGGAAGCGAGGGCGCTACCAACTGCGCTACTCCGCCACGGCCAGTGGAGGGGTTACGCTCTGGGCTCTTACACTGTGACGTTCAGCCAAAGCCATGAATGAGTTCTATTTGAATATATGTAAAATACATTTTTTTTGCCTAAAAAGTGTAAAATTTTGGGAAATTTTTTTCACGAACAATAATTGTCTGGCACAACGAGTCTGTGTGGAAAATGTCAGCTCGATTGGATCACGGGAAGTGGGTTAAAAAACGACCGAAAGATTTGCACGGTCCTAAGCAAGCACGCACGCAAGTGAACTTAATATAAAGGATTTAAAAATTCCCTACCCTTCATCACTGCTAATCCTACACAATACACGAGCAGAATATGACTTTGAGACCACCCTACCACCACCACCTACACATTCCACAAAGAGTGAATAATCTCATAATCTTCTTAGTTCTTTCGGTAAAGAAGGGAAGTAATAAAATAATAAAAACAAAACATAACACAAAACACCTCCCCCCCCCTCCAACCCAGCTTAAATATACGCCCCAAGCTTGGTGCTGTTTCATTCTTCACCTGAGGGCGGCTGCTTGCGTTGTGGCCGAAACGTCGTGAGAATTATTTTATTATGTTTTATTTTTATTATTTTATTACTTCCCTTCTACGTGACGACTTCACCGAAAGAACCAAGAAGATGACGTTTTCGAGGTTGAGGGAATCACCCTCTCCCCAAGGACCTCACGGAAATGCTCAGCAAATCTGCAAATCTGTTTCTGGGGGTCGGAGATTGGATCACCGTTCTTTCCCCGAATGATGGTAGTAGGTGTGGCACTGCAGGTTACTTTTTTGATGGAGTTAAATAGTCATTTGTGATCGCGGGCCATTGGGGCAGACTCCATCTCCTCACCAGCCCGCAACCACCACCCGTCATCCTTGCAGCGCCTCACGGCTCTCCGAACCTCCGAGCGAAGGCTGCGGTAAAAGCCTCCACATTCTCCGACGTGGGATGCTGTAGCCGATGAGAGTGGGCCTGTCGCTTTTTCTCAGCCAGCCTGAACACCGCCTCTGTCAGCCAGGGTCTCTGCGGATGTTTGGACCGTCTACCCAAAGCAGCCATTGCAGCTGCATGAACCACTGTCCTAAAACCTCACCCGTTTCTCGACAGACCTGTTCTTCACCTGAGGACGGCTGCTTGCGTTGTGGCCGAAACGTCGTGAGAATTTTAATTTAATTATGTTTAATTTTCATTATTTTATTATTTCCCTTCTACGTGACGACTTTACCGAAAGAATCAAGAAGATGAATCCCTGCAGTCACGAAAGCTTTAAATCGAAACAACAGAGTGGGTTAAATGAAAGCGTGAAAAAATATCTAAATTTGAAAACTTATTTCCTGCCTAAAATATTTAAAAAATTCACCAACAAACGGGATGGACTTTTATTTTTAACATCGCATTTACCAGTGGCGAAATATAGTAATAGGTTTTTACCCTTTCAACTGGTACAAAAACTGACACCTTTATACCAGGCATCATGTTTGCAATAACCACAACACAAGCAGTCAAAATGCAAACAAAAAGAAACAACTCTGATGATGATAATGATATGCACTGTCCTTGAACTTGATTGGTCCACACCCGAGACAGCTTTTCTTAGAGCCTAGTCTCACATGGTGTTGGACCAGATGACGCCTTTTGGCGTCCGTTTTTGTACCAGTTGAAAGAGTAAAAACCTATTACTAACGAAAAGCCTCTGTACGGTTATAGAAAGACAATTCGATCTCTGATGTTGGTGGCTTAGACATGAGGTGGGTGCGGCAGACAGACGGAGAGACGTGTAACCTCCAGATTTGATCAGTCGTTTTATTGTGCAAACTCCAAAACCACTCCCCAAGTGCTCAACGGCACATCGAAGTGTAAAGGTGAGAAGATGGACTTTGGTACCATTGCAGCCGGGAGCAATCTGGCTGGCTTTGAAGTCGGAGGTGGGGCGGGGGTGGAAGTCTGCCCCGTCTGGTTCGTTAATTTTGTTTGTTAATTATCTCGTATGAAGCGTGTGGGGGGGGAGGGGGGTCCGTTCGCCCGCGAGGAAGCGTGCCTCGTAGAACTAATTCTCGGACGCAAACTCGCCTGAGCCCTGCTCCCCCCTTCCCCGCCGCCACTAGGCATCATCATTGTCGTCGTCTGTTTTGCTTCTGTCTAAAGCTGGGGGGGTCCCCAACCTCCGGACCGTGTACCGGTACCGGTCCGTGGCCTGTTAGCGGAGGTCGCAAACGGGTTTTGATTCCTTACCCGTACCCGTACCCGGCCACACCAGGGTCGCACATGGGTACGGCTACCCGTACCCGGCCGGGTACGGGTAGCCGTTCCCTACCCGTACCCTGTGCCCTACCCGAAATGAGTGACAAACGGTGACTCGCCAGTGACTCACGGCCTGCCCGTACCCTGCCGCACCAGGGTCGCAAACGGGTACCTGTACCCGGCCGTACCCGTACCCTACCCGTACCCAGCCGGGCACGGGTAGGGTACGGGTATCGGGTACCTGATTGCGACCTCTGGGATGAAGCCATGTTGCAGGCGCGGGTGGGTTGATTCTAGGAACTTGAATCGTGAGAAGAGACAAGACGTTGGGAAATGAGTGACAAACGGTGACTCACCAGTGACTCACGGCCTACCTGTACCCGTACCCGGCCGCACTAGGGTCGCAAACGGGTACCCGTACCTGTACCCGGCCACGGGTAGCCGGGTATCGGGTAGGGTACGGGTATCGGGTACCCATTTGCGACCCTGGTGCGGCCGGGTACGGGAAAGGAATCAAAACCCGTTTGCGACCTCTGCCGCTGCACCACCTCTCTCGCATTGACCCCAACCACCCTACCCACCCACCTACCCACCCACCCCACCTACCCACCCACCTACCCACCCCACCCACCTACTTACCCACCTACCCACCCGCCTACCCACCCACCTACCCACCCCACCCACCTACCCACCCACCTCCCCACCCACCTACCCACCCACCCACCCTACCCACCTACCCACCCGCCTACCCACCCACCTACCCACCCCACCCACCTACCACCCACCTCCCCACCCACCTACCCACACCTACCCACCCTACCCACCCACCCACCCTACCCACCCACCACCTACCCCACCCACCCACCTACCCCCCCACCTACCCACCCCCCGCCTACCCTACCCACCCACCTACCCACCCACCTACCCACCACCACCTCCCACCCACCCTACCCACCTACCCACCCACCTACCCCCACCTACCTACCCACCCACCCACCCCCCCACCTACCCACCCACCCACCCCCCCACCTACCCACCCACCTACCCACCCACCTACCCACCCACCCACCTACCTACCCCACCCACCTACCCACCTACCCACCCACCAACCCACCCACCTACCCACCCACCTACCCCCCCACCTACCCACCCACCGACCCCTACCCACCCACCCCACCCCACCCTACCCACCTATCTACCCACCCTCCCCACCCACCTACCCACCTACCCACCTACCCCCCTCCCCACCCACCTACCTACCCACCCACCCACCTACCCACCCACCTACCTACCCACCTATTTACCCACCCACCCTACTCACCCACCTACCCCCCCACCTACCCCCCCACCCACCTACTTACCCACCTACCCACCCGCCTACCCACCCACCTACCCACCCCACCCACCTACCCACCCACCCACCTCCCCACCCACCTACCCACCCACCCACCCTACCCACCTACCCACCTACCCACCTACCTACCCACCTACCCACCCACCTACCCACCACCTACCCCACCCACCCACCTACCCCCCCACCTACCCATCCCCCGCCTACCCTACCCACCCACCTACCCACCCACCTACCCACCCACCCACCTCCCACCCACCCTACCCACCTACCCACCCACCTACCCCCACCTACCTACCCACCCACCACCCCCCACCTACCCACCCACCCCCCCACCTACCCACCCACCTACCCACCCACCTACCCACCCACCCACCCACCTACCTACCCCACCCACCTACCCACCTACCCACCAACCCACCCACCTACCCACCCACCTACCCCCCCACCTACCCACCCACTGACCCACCTACCCACCCCACCCCACCCTACCCACCTATCTACCCACCCTCCCCACCCACCTACCCACCTACCCCACCCACCTCCCCACCCACCTACCTACCCACCCACCCACCTACCCACCCACCTACCTACCCACCTATTTACCCACCCACCCTACTCACCCACCTACCCCCCCACCTACCCCCCCACCCACCTACCCACCCTCCTCTGCCCTGTCACAGCCAGGCGACCATGGCCTCACCCTGAGGCTGACGAGGCCACGGGGCGACCGGCGCGTCGTGTGGACCAGCGACACGATTGACAACGAACACTTGGGTCGTCGCTCCTCCAAGTGTGAGTCTCCGTCGTGGACTACCTCGCCGGGTCTACAGGAGGTCGTGGGTTCCATCTCTCTCTCTCATCATCATCACGGTGGCTAGGAGATGTTAACTACCTCGCCTCGTGTGCAGGAGGTCGTGGGTTCCATCTCTCTCTCATCATCATCACGGTGGCTAGGAGATGTTAACTACCTCGCCTCGTGTGCAGGAGGTCGTGGGTTTGATCCTGACTCTTTGAAGCATCATCATCATCACGGTGGCTAGGAGATGTTAACTACCTCGCCTCGTGTGCAGGAGGTCGTGGGTTCCATCTCTCATCATCATCATGGTGGCTAGGAGATGTTAACTACCTCGCCTCGTGTGCAGGAGGTCGTGGGTTCCATCTCTCATCATCATCACGGTGGCTAGGAGATGTTAACTACCTCGCCGCGTGTGCAGGAGGTCGTGGGTTTGATCCTGACTCTTTGAAGCATCATCATCATCACGGTGGCTAGGAGATGTTAACTACCTCGCCTCATGTGCAGGAGGTCGTGGGTTTGATCCTGACTCTTTGAAGCATCATCATCATCACGGTGGCTAGGAGATGTTGACAACCTCGCCTGGTCTACAGGAGGTCGTGGGTTTGATCTTGACCCTGACGCCTGCTGCTGTATAGTTTGGAGCCTGTGTGTCTCTCTCTCTCTCATCATCATCACGGTGGCTAGGAGATGTTGACAACCTCGCCTGGTCTACAGGAGGTCGTGGGTTCCATCTCTCATCATCACGGTGGCTAGGAGATGTTGACTACCTCGCCTGGTCTACAGGAGGTCGTGGGTTCCATCTCTCTCTCTCATCATCATCATCACGGTGGCTAGGAGTTGTTGACTACCTCGCCTGTGTGTGTGTGTATGTGTGTGTGTGTACATGTGTATGTGTGTGTATCTGTGTGTGTATGTTGTATGTGTGTGTGTGTGCACGTGTGTGTGTATCTGTGTGCGTGTGTGTATGTGTATGTATTATATGTGTCCGGCAAAACAACCTCCTACCTCCTCGCGGTGCCGGACGGGCAACACTGTCGTGGGCAGTGCTGTGGGGGGAGGGCCAATGCCCATTGGCCTCTCCCCTCATGGCGTCTGTGACCACCACAGTGGCTAAACGGGGGCTCTGGACGGGTGCGAGGGGCTGGTAACCCCTCCACCTTCAATCAACCACCACTAAATTACGAATTACACATAAACCTGTAACAAATAAGCTTGTGCCGGAGGCTCCGGGGGGTCAGGCTTTTATGACGTCTCCTGGCCAAACCCATTTGGCGGAGCCAGGAGATTGAATTTTCACCCTCGGGGCTCCTCCAGAAACAACAAAAAACCATTGCGGATGGCCACGTGGAATGTTCGAACGCTCACTGCGGAGGAGAGGCTGCCACTCCTCTGTCGGGAGCTGGACCAGTACCGCCTGGATCTCTGTGGCATTCAGGAGGTCCGGTGGACCGGTTCTGGCTCCTGCCACCATGAGGGGTGGACAGTCCTCTACTCGGGGCAGGAGACTGCCAAACAACAGGGTGTGGCTCTTCTTCTGAACAAAAGAATGAAGGGGGCGTGGGAGCGTGGTGGTGAGGTGTGGGAAGCTGTAAGCCCCAGGATACTTTGGGCTCGCCTTCCCATCAACCAGAGGCGAGGAGTGGTGGTCGTGGTTACTTATGCCCCCACCGAAGACGAACATCCGTGGAGGGATGCAGGCAAAGCCGATGAGTCAGACTCTTTCTATGACCTCCTGTCACAGGTGCTGGCTAAAGTGGCCACTCGGGACAGAATCATCTTGTTGGGTGACTTCAATGCCCGATTTGGTCATGATGCTGGCACCTGGTCTGGAGTGATTGGAAGGCATGGGCCAGATCAGCTCAATAATAACGGTAGGAGGCTGCTAGATTTTTGTGCAGCCCATGGGCTTGTAATTACCAACACGCTCTTCCGGCATCGGCGCATCCACACAACATCATGGATACATGCCGGGTCCAAGCAAGAACATCTGCTGGACTACATAGTGACGGACCAGCGGATGCGAGCCCATGTCCTTGACACCAGGACCTACCGTGGAGCTGATCTGTCCTCTGACCATCAACTAGTCAACTGTAAAATGCGCCTGCCTTTCTTCCACTCCGGTGGTGGGTGTACACCCAGGATCCCATTCCAACCAAAAGTGGCCTGGTCTCAGTTAGCTGATGAAAGTTGCAAGCGAGAATTTCATCATCGCTTGCAGCTGGGGTTGGCATCGTCCCCCACTCCACCTGATGTCGAGGGGAAATGGGCGAGGTTTAGGACTGTGACTCATGCAGCTGCAATGGCTGCTTTGGGTACGCGGTCCAGACCTCCCCAGAAACCCTGGCTGACAGAGGAGGTGTTCAGGTTAATTGAGAAAAAGCGACAGGCCCACTCTCATCGCCTACAGCATCCCACGTCAGAGAATGAGGAGGTTTACCGCAGCCTTCGCTCGGAAGTTCAGAGAGCCGTAAGGCGCTGTAAGGATGGGTGGTGGTCGCGGGTTGCTGAGGAGATGGAGTCTGCCTCAGTGGCCCGTGATCACAAATCACTATTTAACTCCATCAAAAAAGTAACCTGCAGCGCCACACCTATTACCATCATTAGAGGAAAAAACGGTGATCCAATCTCCGACCCCCAGGAACAGGTTTGCAGATTTGCTGAGCATTTCTGTGAGGTCCTGGGGGAGGGAAATTCTCTCAGCCAGGAAAACATCATGGCACAAAGTGGTGATAACCCTGCTGAGGCTGCGGTGCCTCAAATATTGGAAGAGGTCACCCCCTGTGAGTGGCTGACTGAGGTGCCAGCTGTTGAGGAAGTACTGAGGGCGATCCGGAGTCTGAGACCAGGGAAGGCACCGGGCAGAGATGATCTCCCAAGCGAAATGCTGAGGGAGGGTGGCGTTTGTGCACAGACTGCCCTATATGACATCATAACAACAGTCTGGACCACTGGACGGGTTCCGCAGGACTGGAAGGATGCCCTGGTGGTCCCCCTCTTTAAGAAGGGGGACCGTACCGACTGTAACAACTACAGGGGCATCTCACTCCTCAGTGTGCCGGGTAAGGTCCTGGCAAGGATTATTCAACATCGCCTTGCTAGGCACGCTGAGGAGAGGCTTGCGGAGCCCCAATGCGGTTTCAGGAAAGGGCGGTCCTGCACAGATGCCATATTTTCTGTCCGTCTGCTACAGCAGAGGTGTAGGGAATTCCAAAAAGACCTACATCTCTGCTTTATTGACCTGGTCAAGGCCTATGATACCATCAGTAGGACTGGGCTCTGGGTTGTTCTTCGTGCTTTCGGAGTCCCTGACCCTCTGCTCACGATCATTAAGGACCTTCATGATGGTGAGCGGGCCCGGGTAAAACTACGTGGCCGGGAGTCGGAGCCTTTCCCTGTACACCTTGGGGTGCGACAGGGATGTCCTCTGGCTCCCACATTATTAACATCTATTTTGACCGCGTAGTTCGTGAAGCCTTCAATAGCTGTACCGGGGAATTTCCATTTGGTACAGATATAATGGGAGGCTGATCGATGCCCGGGTGCGATCAAGGGATGGCTCCCTATTGGTCAACCATGTTATGTATGCCGATGATTTGGTAATAGCTGCTCATTCAGAAGAGGAGTTGGAGATGCTGCTGCTGAGACTGGAGCGTGCCACTAAGAGGTGGGGCCTTACCATCAGCCCCACCAAAACTAAGCACCTGCCTGGGTATTTTGTACCATCGGACACTCCACCCCCACAACTCCCAATTGGTGATGGGGCAGTTGTGGAGAGAGTGGAGAGTTTCCCATACCTGGGCAGTGTGCTTATGACCGGCTCCAGTTTATCAGCAGAGGTCTCACTCCGAATCAGTCGAGCGGCAATATCTTTTCATCGGTTGCGTAACGCTGTGTGGAAGCTACCTGGTCTGTCGCTCCGCACGAAGCTTCAGGTCTTCTCGGCCACGGTCATTCCCTCCCTTCTCTACGCTTGCGAGACGTGGACCCCCCTGGTGGAGCATCTTCGCCGGTTGGAAACATTTAGGCTGGCCTGCCTACGATCCATCCTGGGTTTAACCAGGCTGGATTGTGTGAGGAGCTCACAAATCCTTGAAAGATCTGGGCAAAGTCCCATCAGTGAGCTCCTCCGGCAGGCAAGGCTGCGTTGGCTGGGTCATGTAGCCCGCATGCCCAGCCACCGCATGCCTAAACAGCTTTTGTTCGGCCGGATCGAGGGGGCTAGACGGGCGCGGCACGGGCTGGAGAAGAGATGGAGTGATGTGGTACAGGAGGACGTGGAGCTGAGTGGACTTGCCGATGACTGGTACCAGCGGTGTCAAGATCGGCCTCAGTGGAGGAGGCTCGTGAAGGACGCTACTGGGCAGTTGGAGGCAGTCGCCCTCCAACAACAACGGAGGGCGGAGGAGCGACGCTCACAACAACGAGCGGAGCGCCGGGTGGCTAAAGCACAGCAAGTTGGCACAGTAGGGGGCACAGGTGGTGCATCAGCCAGTCATCTCGGTCATCTCGGTCAGTCGACCCGTGGCACCTGCTGGGTCTGCCCCGTGACCTCCTGCCAGCGGGCGTTCGACACTTCACGTGGCCTCAAGGTGCACATGGCCTGGCACAAGCGTCGTGGTGACGTCACCGCCACTTAGTGGCGAATGGCGGTTGTTGTATGTAAGTGTGTGTGTGTACGTGTGTGTGTGTGTGTATATGTGTGTGTATGTGTGTGTCTGTGTGTGTGTGTGTCTATGTGTGTGTCTGTATGTGTCTGTATGTGTGTACGTGTGTGTGTGTGCGTGTGTATCTGTGTGTGTGTATCTGTGTGTATATGTATCTGTGTGTGTGTACGTGTGTGTCTGTATGTGTGTACGTGTGTGTGTATCTATGTGTATGTATATGTACGTGTATGTGTGTACGTGTATGTGTGTACGTGTGTGGCACGTCAGGCTGCTGCGTCTACCAGAAGCCGCGCGACTTTGGCGAGAGCTCCTCGGACAGCGAATCGGAGGAGGGCGGATCCAACTGTGGCAACGCCCACTGCCCCCACGGGCACGCCCACAGCCACCCTGACTCCTCCCACATCCACCCTGACTCCTCCCACATCCACCCTGACTCCTCCCACATCCACCCTGACTCCTCCCACATCCACCCTGACTCCTCCCACAGCCACCCTGACTCCGCCCACATCCACACCGACTCCTCCCACATCCACCCTGACTCCGCCCACATCCACCCTGACTCCGCCCACATCCACCCTGACTCCTCCCACATCCACCCTGACTCCGCCCACATCCACCCTGACTCCTCCCACATCCACCCAGACTCCGCCCACATCCACCCTGACTCCGCCCACATCCACCCTGACTCCGCCCCCTCGCAAGCGGGACATCCCCACTCCCTGTCCGCTGATGACACCGGTCGTGACGGGGGTCGACCGGTGCCGGTGGTGCCGGCGGTGGTTGCCAGGGGCGACGACGGTGCGACCGGCGGGGCAGGGCACGCGAACGGGCAGCAGTAGAGCAGTGGAGCGAGCACGGGGAACGTACACACACACACACGTGTGTAGTACACGGCATACAGGACACGGGGTGTAGTACACGTCATACAGGACGCAGGATGTAGTACACGTCATACAGGACACAGGATGTAGTACACGTCATACAGGGCACGTGTGTGTAGTAGTACACGTCATACAGGACACGGGTTGTGTACATGTCATACAGGACACAGGATGTAGTACATGTCATACAGGACACGTGTGTGTAGTACATGTCATACAGGTCACAGGATGTAGTACACGTCATACAGGACACAGGTTTTAGTACACGTCACCGTACAGGACACATTATATAACATACAGCATAATGTAGGAGGTAGGTTATATCAACAACATGATACAGGACATACGGTGTCGCACACAGCGTAACACAGGACACGGGGTATTGTATGCAGGACATGTTACACGTGTGGGCAGTCGAGCGAGCGGTTCGTGGTGTACAGGACACCTGGGCGTGTGCGGTAGATCTCCGTGTACCGTACGCGGAGTGCACCTTACATGTGACAAGGCCGTGGGCATTAAGTCGATTTGTCCTACGGGACACGGGAACACTGCAGAGACCCCTAGACTCACACAGAGACACATAGACTCACACAGAGACCCATAGACTCATGCAGAGACCCATAGACTCACTCAGAGACCCATAGACTCACACAGAGACACATAGATTTACACAGAAACCCATAGACTCAGAGACCATAGACTCACTCAGAGACCCATAGACTCACACAGAGACACATAGATTTACACAGAAACCCATAGACTCAGAGACCATAGACTCACTCAGAGACCCATAGACTCGCACAGAGACACATAGATTTACACAGAAACCCATAGACTCAGAGACCATAGACTCACTCAGAGACCCATAGACTCACTCAGAGACACATAGATTCACTCAGAGACCCGTAGACTCACTCAGAGACACATAGATTTACACAGAAACCCATAGACTCAGAGACCATAGACTCACTCAGAGACCCCATAGACTCACTCAGAGACCCATAGACTCACACAGAGACCCATAGACTCACGCAGAGACCCATAGACTCACTCAGAGACCCATAGACTCAGAGACCCATAGACACACACAGAGACACATAGACTCACACAGAGACCCATAGACTCACACAGAGACCCATAGACTCACGCAGAGTCCCATATACTCACACAGAGACCCATATACTCACTCAGAGACCCATAGACTCAGAGACCCATAGACTTACTCAGAGACCATAGACTCACTCAGAGACCCATAGACTCACTCAGAGACACATAGACTCACACAGAGACCCATAGACTCACACAGAGACCCATAGACTCACGCAGAGACCCATAGACTCACACAGAGACACATAGATTTACACAGAAACCCATAGACTCAGAGACCATAGACTCACTCAGAGACCCATAGACTCACTCAGAGACACATAGACTCACACAGAGACCCATAGATTCACTCAGAGACACATAGACTCACGCAGAGACCCATAGACTCACACAGAGACCCATAGACTCACACAGAGACCCATAGACTCACACAGAGACCCATAGACTCACACAGAGACCCATAGACTCAGAGACCATAGACTCACTCAGAGACCCATAGACTCACTCAGAGACACATAGACTCACGCAGAGACCCATAGACTCACTCAGAGACACATAGACTCACACAGAGACCCATAGACTCACGCAGAGACCCATAGACTTACACAGAGACCCATAGACTCATGCAGAGACCCATAGACTCACACAGAGACCCATAGACTCACTCAGTGATCCATAGACTCACACAGAGACCCATAGACTCACACAGAGACCCATAGACTCACGCAGAGACCCATAGACTCACGCAGAGACCCATAGACTCACACAGAGACACATAGACTCACACAGGGATCCATAGACTCACACAGAGACCCATAGACTCACGCAGAGACCCATAGACTCACACAGAGACACATAGACTCACACAGAGACCCATAGACTCACACAGAGACCCATAGACTCACGCAGAGTCCCATATACTCACACAGAGACCCATAGACTCACACAGGGATCCATAGACTCACACAGAGACCCATAGACTCACGCAGAGACCCATAGACTCACGTAGAGACCCATAGACTCACGCAGAGACCCATAGACTCACGCAGAGACCCATAGACTCACACAGAGACCCATAGACACACACAGAGACCCATAGACTCACACAGAGACTCACAGACTCACTCAGAGACACATAGACTCACACAGAGACCCATAGACTCACACAGAGACCCATAGACTCACACAGAGACCCATAGACTCACACAGAGACCCATAGACTCGCACAGAGACCCATAGACTCACTCAGAGACCCATAGACTCATGCAGAGACCCATAGACTCACACAGACCCATAGACTCACGCAGAGACCCATAGATTCACGCAGAGACACATAACTCACACAGAGACCCATAGACTCACACAGGGATCCATAGACTCGCACAGAGACCCATAGACTCACACAGAGACCCATAGACTCACACAGAGACCCATAGACTCACCACAGAGATCCATAGACTCACACAGAGACCCATAGACTCGCACAGAGATCCATAGACTCACACAGAGACCCATAGACTCGCACAGAGACACATAGACTCACTCAGACACAGACTCACTCAGAGACACATAGACTCACTCAGAGACACATAGACTCACTCAGAGACACATAGACTCACTCAGAGACCCATAGACTCACGCAGAGACCCATAGACTCACTCAGAGACCCATAGACTCACGCAGAGACACATAGACTCACGCTGAGACCCATAGACTCCTCAGAGACCCATAGACTCACACAGACACATAGACTCACTCAGAGACCCATAGACTCACTCAGAGACTCATAGACTCACGCAGAGACCCATAGACTCACACAGAGACCCATAGACTCACACAGAGAAACCATAGACTCACACAGAGATCCATAGACTCGCACAGAGACCATAGAACTCGCACAGAGACCCATAGACTCCCACAGAGACACAGAGACTCGCACAGAGACCCATAGACTCACTCAGAGATCCATAGACTAACACAGAGACCAGTAGACTCGCTTAGAGATCCATAGACTAACACAGAGACCCATAGGACTCACACAGAGACACATAGACTCACTCAGAGACCATAGACTCACGCAGAGACCCATAGACTCACACAGAGACCCATAGACTCACACAGATACCCGTAGACTCGCTCACGAAGACTCACTCGAGACCTACTCACTCAGAGACCCGATACTCACCCGAGACCCGTAGAACATCACTACAGAGACCCGTAGACTCACAC